ACGCCAAGCGTAAGCGGCCATGGATGTCATCTACGTTTTGAAGTGACATAGACGCACTCTGTTTGGTTTGGTAGGTTAAATCATCACCAACTTTGGCAACAAAACGGCTCTTTTCAGGGCCACCAAGCTTATTACAGTAAAGAGTAGGAATAGAATTCATCTGCCTGTTTGTCCGTATTCAGAACCAACGACCACACAAAATGCTCATGTAATCAAACTGAAAGCAGGGGTGCAAATTATTTTGATCAACCCTGATCAACTTTGAATCGCCACGGCCGGATATTGTCCATGGAAGAAGCAACAATCAAGCTTCTAATTCGACGAAGACGGCAGGAAACATTTGTGAAGCCAAGTTATTAACGAAAGAGTGAGAGTCGATGAAGAGAATCGATCAATTTAGATATAACTTATTGAAAAGTGACGCGAGATTTGTTTTCCGTGCTGAGCACCAATGCTACCGACGCCAGGAAGGCAGCTCCCACACCTGGACCCTACCAATCGACCCATCAACTCAACCGGGGACCAACGGCTTTACTTCCCGAAGGAAGGCGTGATCAGAGATGTTATGCCTTAGAACATGCCGGTGGCGTCGACTGAGATTGGACCCAGGCCTGCTGGGGTGAGAGGTAATCACGCTAACCACCGGCGCCGATATCTTTCAAGGTGATATCAGATCGACCCAAATTTGAGTTTAGGTATCTCAGAAATAAGAAATAAAATGCAGGAACTCAGCGATGAGTAAATTTGCCTCATGTTTTCCCAGGTTTTTCCAGGATTTTCCAGGGAAAAAATCCTGAATTTTCGAAAAGTAAAGATTGGATTCACTCAGTCTATTGGTACTACTCCGAGACTGAATAAAATTTTCATCAATTTCCTCATTTTCTGGCAGATTTTTTAGGTTGTTCACAGGAAACCATGAGACAAATGTACTCATCGCTGAGTTCCTGCACTTTTGGCGATTATGAGTGAACTAAACTCAAATTTGGGTCGTTCTCATTTGCCGTGTACGCAAAAGGAATAGAGCCAGTGTCGCTACTTGATAGCAAACTACTCATAATGGGAGGAGTCTTTGTTGCTTTTATACCTCTTGGTTGCACATCATTCTGCTTTAACATGCAAAGATATAAAAGAGTGCTGCTGTATGAGCTAACATTTTTGCTTCGGACGGCGTGGTGAACAGCAAAGTTCTTCGAGATAACCGCCATCGGTCGTCTGGCTCGCCGTGGTGGTGTCAAACGTATCTCCGGTCTGATCTACGAGATATGCTGAAACTGTTCCTGGAAAATGAGGTCCGTAAGTGGCCATGGATGTCCTCTTTAATAAAACGGCCCTTTTCAGGGCCATCAAGCTTACATCAGTAGAGATTTGGAATAGAATTTATCTTTGCTTGTCTGTCCATATTCAGAACCACAAGCCCCCAACGACCACACAAAATGCTCTCCAGAGTTGTAATCTTGTAACCAAACTTGGAAGCAGGGGTGCAAGTGATTTTGATTGATTCTCTTAATCAACTTTCTCTTTGAAAAGATTACTACAAATTTGGTAGGCCTACAATTCAAAAACGGAAAGAGGTGAGATAATAGATAATTGATCAATGAAAAGAACTAAATGCTTTTCACATTTATTCCGTCCACTAGCGGTCCTACGTCAAGCTTCCGTTCGTGCCCCTAGGCACAGACCCTTCTACTTTTTTTGTGTAAATACAGAAATTTTTAAAATATGTCTATATGGATCATATCATGCTTTAATTACAAATGGCTTAAAAATCCGATTTTTTAAAAACATTTAAGCATGCGAAAAATCAAAATCTCGTAGGTTTTTTTTTACACGGTTTTTTTTTACACGGTCCGTATCCCCCGTGTAAAAAAAGACCTGAGTGTACCCAATAATGACTATAAAAGACTCAATATTGACTTTTGAGGGAAACTGGGACTGCTCATTAAATGAGTAAAAAAAATATCCATTTATTAGTTTATTATTATAAATTATTAGTTACTCATAAATCAATACTTACTACTCATTTTTGAAGTAGTAATTACTCATTAATGGGTTAAATTTTACTCATTTAATGGATAGTCCCAGTTTCCCTCAAAAATACTTATTTTGTAATCATTACTGGGTATTTTGGGGTTACCGTGTAGTTTCAGATGCAATGCACACTGATAAAATAAACTATTACCATTTTGCTTGAAATTTAATCAATTTGGCATTGAACTTAGTTCAATCATATCGAATGATTAAAAATTAATACTCTCTTTCTAAAAAATATCTGATATTAATCCCAGTTTAATCATGGTTGATTAAATTGAAGATTATCTATTTTGATTATATATCAGTATTGAAAAAGAATAAAATTTAATACTGGAAAGATTATTTCGAATTTAATGATGCATGACTACTGCCAAAGTAATCATGGCTCGGACTGAATAAGGTGAAGCGGGAATCTGCATATATTTTAAGCTTTTTTGATTTAATTTATCTCTGAGTGCAAGCAATATTATAAAGAATTTTTTTTAGCTGTGTGAAATAAGCTTAATTTGTTTTTATTGTTTTTTCTTACCGTGATCTACACGGTAAGAAAAAAGTACCCAAACGGCCAGTTCACTTTTACCTACTATCGGCTAGTTTGTCTCCTTTTCACATTCTAATGTTGTCAAAAACGGAGGAGCAAAACCACCCAACAGGGGTAGTAAAGTGTGGGAACCTCGGTGGGAACCCAACGTTGAGTATAACCGTATTTACCTACTGTTGGGTACAACTAACATACTTTTAGTTAAAAAGCCAGTGGAAAATTCCATACGAACTGCACACAAGTAAATGAAAATTACTTTGACTCGCTTTACCTACTTTGCGTTCCTGCACTATATAGTGCCGAGATGTGTGAAAATAACTTAATTTTGAGAACTTTTTTCTAAACGTGTACACGCTATTTCAAAACTCCCCAAATTTGGGCAGAATCCACCCAGATCGGTCAAAACTGAACCTATCTAAAAATGGGTAAACTTAAAGAGCCTAAATTTATAAAGAGGCGACATGTCATAGGAAAAGTCATTCCAATCGAGCAGAAGACCTGTCAAATGGATAAGATGTCGTCTCTTTATAAATTCAGGCTCTTTAGGTAAACTGTGTTGGGAGCAGCTAGGTGGCAGCCCTATCTTGTTTGCCTTGCCTTGAAAAGAGCTAACATCGCTGCGGGTCCTCGAATCGTGGACCCCACTGACAGCTCATAATTTGTAAACAAACCCTAATAAAAATTGTATGGTTAATTTGCTTAACGACGTGTTCTGGGTATCATCCAAACCATTTGCGGAATAGTTCAATGATTTGGGTTATCGTTCGTTTATGGTTATTTTTTATTAGGGAATAGAAGATTCAAGCCAGAATTTCAAAAAAGGCGTGACTGATATTTTAGATATTCTTAATATTTTTGCATACATTTTATGAAAAATAAACTTAGAACTCATAAAATATTATTTTCTGATTTTCTACCACGAAGTCAACCATTTATATGGCATAAAAGGGAAAATAATTTCATTTGATAAAAATAAGACAATTCAGTCACGCCATTTTTGCAGTTCACACTTAAATTGTGACGTTTCATTCAGATGTTGGTTTCAATAACATGGCGGCATATCAACCAGCTGGTTGGGAGTGACAAGTTGACAAATCTGGATCAACAATAGAAAAGGGCCCATCAGCATTTGTAAACAAACCGTTCCAAAGCCTATTCCTCACAAATCGAAGGACGCTCACACAAACCAACACCATCATCGTGTAGGTAGAAGTTTCCCCTATCCGATGATGGTGTTGGTTTGCGTGGTCAGCCTTCGCTTTGTGAGTAAAGGGCTTTGGAACGGTTTCTTTACAAATGCGGTTGGGCCCTTTTCTATTGTTGATCCAGAAATTAACAACATCGACATGAATCCGATTAACGTTGTTCACCCAAAAAATATTGAAATCTAAATAGTATAAAAGTTACGCTAAATAGCAACTCTCCGTACCGACGCAAAGGTCGGTATAAAGGGAGAGAATGCAAACTTAGTATAAAAATGGTTTATGCGTGCCAGTATAAAATCGAAACATACTCACAATGCATAGATACGGTTTATTCAAGAGAATGTATTTTTCGCTTCTTTATTTCATTTATGGTAAATATTATTGTTTTCAAATGAAAATAAAAATTGTCTCAGCTTTTTTCATTAGTTTATTTTTTATTAATAATATTTAAAAATACTTACAATTTCGATGCTGCCCAGCAGATTACAGGCGCAGTAGGAATCCGCTGGGACAAAGCCCTTCACCAGCACGAAGCTCCGAAGGGAATCCAGATGTTCTTATTCCTGTCATTTTAGTAAACACTGATCGAATTCCACTCAGTTATTCGGACTTAGTATAATTTTGACGAAAATTTTAATCGAACCAATGTATACATTTTGAAAAACCATAAAATGCATAAAACGCTGTCCAGACTGGAGAGTTATAACATGTTATAACGGTTGTCAAATAATTGCAACACAGAAACCACCATCAAGATAGCGCTATAACATGTAATAACTCTGTAGTCTGAACGTACTATCCAGCTTTCCATGCTCGGTAATGGCGGCCCCTTTGTATGAATAAATGTATCCTTCACTGTGCTTTTTGACACAAACTGGAGGGCGTATGTTGTTCCATTTTCTTCTGTTCCTGGGAGAGGGAAAGGGAAGGGGTTGAAATTCGAACATCCAGATAGTGTCAAAAAGCACAGTGAAGGATACATTTATTCATACAAACAGGCCGCCATTACCGAGCATGGAAAGCTGGATAAAACTTAATCTATGTTCGTTTTGTCAACTTGTCACTCCCAACACAGTTTACCCATTTTTGGGTAGGTTCAGTTTTGATCGATCTGGGTGGATTCTACCCAAATCTGGGGAGTTTTGAAATAGCGTGTATCTAGGAAAAGGGAAATTTTTGTTTACCTGGCAGCCCCCAATGTCAATAACAAATGGTGCTTACTGTCTTTCACTGTCTACTGCTGTCTGTCACACATTTTCCATCGTGAGTGTTTCGCAAGTGCAAAAAGGTATTGTTACTTAATAGTTTCCAAATTATCCGGAAAATTCTATCCATGGCCTTGGTCTGATCGAAAATTGACAACTTGCATTTATTTTTAGGAAACAAACATGCTTCGCTCTGCAGCTGGTCAGCTCTTTGGTGTCCTGCGCGGAACTGTCGGTTTAACCACGTCCCGCTTGGGAGCCGCTGGAGTTGTCCGTCACTCGCACAGCAATGAAAGTGCTGAGGAATTCGATGCCCGATATGAAGCCTACTTCAACCGTTCGGATATCGACCACTGGGAAGCCCGTAAGGGTATGAACGACCTGCTCGGTATGGATTTGATTCCGGAGCCTAAGATTATTGCTGCCGCATTGAAAGCTTGCCGACGTTTGAACGATTATGCCTTGGCCATTCGATTCCTGGAGGGTTGCAAGGACAAGTGTGGAAACAAGGTCAATGAAATTTACCCATACCTGCTGCAAGAGATTCGCCCAACATTGACCGAACTGGGTATCGAGACCCCTGAGGAGCTGGGCTATGATCAGCCGGAACTTGCTCTGAAGTCGGTGTACGATATGCACTAAATAGCGGTGACCAATTGTGCTAGCCTTTAAGGGTCCTGTTTGAAGCATTAGTTGAGTTAAGAATAAAATGGGCGGAATAATTCCGAAATGAGAAAAAAACGTTTCAAAATGGTTATGTAATCATTAGCGATGAATCGCCACAGTGAAAGAAATACGTAATAAAGTGGTAATAATTATCTAAGGTACATCCCATTTTTATTATAATTTTACTAACGGAACGCCAATCTACCATTTTGGGATCAAGGAAAAATGCTGAAAAAAGATGTGAATGAATATTGGAGTTATTTCAATAAAAAAAGTTTATACGAGTTTGTTAAAGGTGCTACGTTGTTTATTAGGACTTGGTCTTAAACCGCGTGAAATTTGCAAAGCATCAATTAACCTTTAAAATGAAAAATCAAAATTTAAATATATAAACTATTGCTTTTTCAAAGTCCTATAAGCTAAATTTTCTGCTTAAGGTCTGTATAGCGATCGAAACGAAGTGAAATTCCCTTATAAAATACTCGATTTTCACCAGCATGAAAAATGTATATTGCTGATTGCATCTGAAACTGGACTGTCCCGAAAATGCAAAAAAAGTGTGATAAAAGTGCACGTTTCCGTCAAATCGTTTTGATGTCTTCAGAGCACTTATTGCTTGCATCATAAGGAATAAGTGCACCAAGACGATTAGACGTAAACTTGCAGTTTTATCACACTTTTTAATAAGTGAAAACGCGCTTATTAGTCCAATTTGGTGTGAAACGCGCAATAATTGACAAAAATTTCACTTCGCTTGGAACTGTAAAGGCCTGTATAGAGATCGAAGCGAAGCTCATGAGATTTTTCTCATATATATATAATATGATTCTATAACATTCCCCAGAAAAGAATTCCCCAGAATGTACCATTCCCCAGAAAAGATGATGAAATTAGTAATTTTCACTTTTCTTTTTTTTTAGTATTGATAATACACTATATTTACTTTTATGGAACTATGTATTTATCAATTCCAAACCATTTTATAGCTCTTTATAAAATGACAACCTTCAAGTTTTCGAGCACTTCGTTCATCATTTAAAAAGTGAGTGCAAGAAAGTGAAAGCGATCAGTTGGAAATGCATTCCAAAGTGTTTTCGTTTATCATAATCCTTTTCATCAGAACTGTTATCAGACGATTGGCAGTCTGGCCCGATGATTCTGATTGGAAGCAGGTGCAAGAGCTTCTTTGAAGATCCGACGGAATGTTATGAAATATTTAGCTAGAATTAAGAGATGCAACAGTCTTTCAAGTATTGGTTGCACGTGCAAACCATCGTTCATTTGGTGAGTTCGTTCCAGTTTATTTGTTTACTTGTTTCGATACCATCTATCAGTTTTCTACAATTTTGTCTTGGACATCTTTTCGAAGAGCCACGTTCATGCTGTAATTTGTCGAGCGTACAATTTTCACACGTTGAGATCGAGTAGGAACGGCAAGAGAGTCATCAAAGTGCTTTTGTTTCTGGTTTTAGACGTTTGATGTCTTCAGTGATGTTTTTGTACTTTCAAGTTCCCTTTTCTGTGATCATGGTGGGTCTGAAGAGTTTCTGTTGAGCACACTGAGGCTGAAATTGCATACATGCATGGACATGGAGGTTGACAGTACTGAAGCAAAGGGTTATGTTTAATTTCTTTATATTTGCAACGATGATGATTTCCTATAGTGACACATATCACCTTCTTAATGCTTCAGTATGCCTCAAACGATTAATTCTTGGTTGTTAATAGAACTTCCTTGATGAAATCGGCTGCTTCATGCAGACTGAGCAATTCTGATTATAGAATCAGATTTGTTCTGTATACAGAGGAACTGGGAGGGCTTATTAGAAACCGAACACCAATAAAGTTATGATCTTCTAGTAAATTTTGCATATCATTTTATTAATATTTTATTTTATTTAAGCATATTATTTTTGTTACAGTCAATTCGCATTAGCACACGATACAAGAGATTTAATATTACTTGCTCGTTTTTGCGTTAAATAATCAATATTTATTTTACTTGTAATTACCTTTGAAAGTTTTTTTCAAGTTTTTTTTTTGTGATCTGAAAATTTTTCCAGTTTGGTTAGAAGTTTCGAAGCTAACCCATGTCCACAGGCCCAATAGAAAGATAGGCAGAAAAAGTGTATCATGAAGAATGGTTGCATGCAGGGTTGCTTCCACTCACTTGCTATAGATGAGTGATTTTCGGAGTTTTGAATTCGTTAGATGTTGTAATGGAGATTTGTGTAGTTGGATGCGGGAGGAGATTGGAGGGCAGGTGTTTGACGCATAGAGCCTGTCAATTTGAATTTCAGAGTGCCACAGTCGGCGGTTTTATGATTCGTGAGCGCTCGCGATTCGTAGAATCGCTGATTGTGACTGCAAGTGGATTTGGCGGGTTTTGTGTGTCGGATGCTTGCTTTTTGGCCTCTTCTTGCGTCTAACATGTGCAGAGTATCATTATAGCGTCGAATGGTTTTAAAATTCCTGGTCGCGTGAAATATATTTGTGAGAATATCTTTTTGAGATTTTAGTAGACACGTTTTGTTTGTAGTTTATATTTTATTTCTTTCATGTAATTATCGTAAATAATAGTTATTCAATAATAGATAGTTCATCCATATATTCGTACTTTGACGCGAAGCGCTGTGGATTATGAGATGCTCGATGACCCTGGAGGGATCGATTTTGCTTACTGAGCAGAAAATCATGGATTTAACCCCAAGCTCTTCTACAGCACAATAAATCGCCACCATCATTTGTATATTTGATAATGAATATTAACCTCGCTTACTATTTGCATATCAAGCGAAAACGTAGCCCTGTATTGTAGCGAAGCGTTATGGTTCTGAGATGCTCGATGACCCTGGAGGGATCGTGTTTACTTACTGAGCAGAAAATCATGGGTTTAGTCCCAAGTTCTCTGGTCATGACTCTTAAAATTCATGATCACTAAACAAAATGAATATGTTCTTTCGATAGCCGGCTATCGAGGGATTAAATAAACAATACATAATTTTGGTTGCATATATATATTTTATATAAAAACGCAAAACTTTCGAAAAGAGGTAGCGCTACCCATGTTGTGGGTCGCTCGGGTGTGTCCGCATCGAAGCCGGGATAAGACTTGTTGTTCCCATTGGCCCGTAATGTCCGAGGTAATGTCATTCCATTTGGAGGTGTTGCTCTTTATTTTTCTCAGGAACGGTCCCCTTTTTGCGAACCACTCCCGGGCCCAGGCGTCTCGGAGGGATGCTTTCACCCATTTTTTTTACGTCCGGACTGGGTACAACCACAAACGAAGTGACAGACGGAGCGGCTCGAAAACTTTGGTGACTAACCTGCTATTTCAATTTTTCAGTGTACCACATGGCAACACCACTACTACTAGATTGTACCACATGGCAATACTACTACTGGATTGTTCTAGCATTTTCACCAAATGTAATAGCACAAACGAAGTGACAGACGACTAACTGGCGAAGAAATCCATTTAAATAATGTGGTTCACTGTAATAGAATTTTCTTGGAAGCTTATGCCATCATGCACCAGATGGGTTAGTTTTTTTTGTTTTGATTTGAACAAAGTTGATTTTGTGTACAATGATTCTTTGACAGTGTGCAAAGAGTGCGTATCATTTTGTCATTTTTTTATGCATTTCAGTTTTGAGTAGAGTGAAAGAGATAGAACCAAAATATTCTAGTACATTTGGTGTACATCCGGAACAATGTTGTGCTCCAGAAATTGATTGAATGAGTTCAACAAGCGTCTCTTCGCGACGTCTGGGAGATTTTTGAGTAAGTTGAACTTGATTCTATCCATTCCTGGAGCTGAGTTGTTACATGAAAGGAGAGCAAGTGAGAATTCCACCATCGAAAACGGAGATATTTCGTTACTATCCGACGGACTATCACGAACGTTGGTTTGAACCGACACCGAATCCGGGCATACTTTCCGCGCGAAGCTGAATATCCAACTGTCTGAGTACTCCTTGTCTTCGTTGACCGGTGATGACGCGTTTCGCATTCTCCTGCCGACATTCCAGAGCGTTCTCATGGAAGTCTCTCGTGACAAACCATCGACGAACCGACGCCAGTAACCGCGTTTTTGGCTTTAATCAAGCTCTTAAAAGTTTTCTCGAGGTCGGTGTACCGCTCGAATTCCCGGACCTTACCGTGTTTGCGGAAGCGTTTAAACGCGGCGGACTTCTCGCTGTTTGCGTCAGTGCAATCCTTAGAGGTCGTTTGCGAACAGAACCACCCGGAACGCGTTTCGTCTGTGCTTGAAGAGCGCAGTCAACGATAAGTCGCGATAAAAACGAGGGGGGCGACACATCTAAATCTCAATTCTAGATGCTCAAAAAATCTCACACTAGCCAATACATCTTTGAAAAATCTTCTTTCATTTCTCGCATCTACTTGCATCGCGCATCATCTTTTTGCAGGAAATCTTCAAAATCGTGATAAATCTTCTTTCTATCTACTCAGCGTACGCGCAGCTAGCCACAGCAAAACACAATATTTCCTGCATCGTAGATAGAGTCGTCCCCTTCGGATAAAAAGGAGTACTCGTCCAGCGGAGTGAGTATCTCAACCGAATCAGTACCACCGAGAACCGCGGACGCAAATTTTTGCCAGTCGATGTTTTTCGTGAGGTCGTACGCGATGTCAACCGAGCGAGTGGAAGATGAACCATTGGTAATAGAAATTTTGATTGGCAAGTGGTCACTACCGTAGGGATCTTGAATTACTTTCCACGAGCAATCCAACGATAGTGAACTCGAACTGAGGGAGAGGTCTAATCTACTTTCTCTTGCTGGAGGTTTGGCCACTCGTGTTACTTTCCCAGTGTTTAGAATTGTCATATTGAAGTTATCGCAAAGGTCGTATATCAGAGTTGAGCGGTTGTCATCGTACAGTTCCTCTCAGCCCCCCAGGGAGTTAAAATCTCCTAAGATCAACCGAGGCTCAGATAAAGCTGAGCAGATGTCAGAGAAACCTTGGAGAGAGAGAAATCGCAGTTCTTGGAGGAAGATATACTGAGGCAATACTGAGGCTTTTACCTCGAATACCTGACATGCGACAACTTCAATGCCTGTCACGGAAGGCAGATCGATTCTATGAAAGGAATGGAGCTTATTAATCCATACGAATCTGCTCGATCAAGGCGAATAATGTTAAAATCGTGGAAAGGGAGATCGTTGTCTGAAGAAAGCCATGTTTCACAAAGAGCAAATGCATCACAAAGTGAGTTGTGAACTAAAAATTTGAATGTGTCAAGTTTCGGTATAATACTTCTACAGTTCCACTGAAGACCAGAGATCATATCCCCGACCTCATTCGGAAAATTATCCATCAAAGGATATGATCGATGCAAGGAAGGACCACCTAGAAGCTAGTTGCTTTAAAAGAGTTTTCACAAATGGAAGCACTAAATTAATAATGTTCCGAGTTGAGTCAGAGACGTTGAATATATTGAAGATGCTCTCCACAATTCCAGAAAACGTGAACATGGCATCATGTTCTTGCTGATTATTCAGCTGTTTTTCTGGCTGAAAAACTGGGATATCTGGGGTTTTAGATGATCCCGGAAGTGGCGGAAAGTCCTTGTTAAAATTACAAGATTTAAATCCCAGTGGTGGAGGTTTCGGTACATTTCCGCTACCTCTTAAATTTGTCAAGGTAGGTTGGGAGTCCATACGAGAGGTCTTACGGGGATTTTGAGTGACGCTTTTTCTTAATCGCTTTCTCGTGTTGCCTTTAAAGACAAAGGGACTACCTTCACCAACCTCTGAGTCAGAGCCCTGATCATCATCTGGCAAAATGGAGTATGTATTTTTGGTTTTTGGGGTGGTTTGGGAAGATGAAGCGGTGTTTTTTAAGAGTTCTTGGAGCGAGCTTGCAAAGACCGCTTAAGTTTTTCTCCCTGCGGTTTGTACTTCGAACAATCAACCAAAGCATGCAGAGTATCCTTGCAGTAAACACATTTTGCAGTAGCCCGGCAAGGACCATCTGCATGCAGCTCGCCACATTGATCGCAGCTCGGTTTGTTGGAGCAGAAGTCAGCGGTGTGACCAAGTTGCTTACATGTTGAGCAGTTCATTACCCGCGGTACAAACAAGCGTACAGGCAGTCGAACCTTCCCAATTACAACGTAGTCAGGTAGAGCCGATCCTGAAAAGGTCACACGGAACGAGTCTGACAGAGAGTACGTTTTTTTCGTGCCAATGAGAGACACTGATTGCATTTGAATGCAATCCAGAATCTTCACTTTCGGAAGGGCACGGTTTTTATCAATACCGAAGGATTCAGCATGAAGGAAATCTTCGCAAGTTAGACTCGCTTCGGTGACCCCTCCTTCGATTTCTACGTCGCAACTGGGGATGTAGACTCGATATTCCATCGTAAAAAGCTCATAGGCAACAATCCGGTTTGCCTGGTTCGGGTCATCAACGGTAACGCGCAGTTTGTTTGGCGTCACCTTAAAGATATCGGTTACGGCCGAAAAATGTTTTGTCAGATCCTTCGAAATCCGAGAAATATTCAAAGGTTTTTGTTTGGGCCGGAAAAAAAAACCCACGGACCTTTTGAGTCGCTTGGGTAAGCTTTATGGCGGGGGTCGCAGCAATTTTTAAGGGAGCGGTTGGAGTAGGGGGAACAGGTGGACGAGGGGGCGATGGTGGAGAAGGGGGGGGGGCAGGGGATGAAGGAGGTTGTTGTTTAGACATCACCTTTCGGTAAGCTCCAGTGCTCGTTTTGGGGTCCGAAGTAGAGTCCCCTGAGGTATCCATTTTCTCTTCAGTGAGAAGCAGATTTTCGAATGATGGAGATTTAACAGACTCATCGTCGGAGATATCTGGTAGCGAAATACCCCCGCCATCATTGGTTTCATCTAGAGTCGGTGTATAATGAGTCACGCCAAGAGAAAAACAGTTGAACTCGCATCACGTTTTTCGAAAGATTCCCTTTCTTTTAACTTGGCAACAGAGGACTTCTGCATCAACTTCAAATGACTTCTGGCAAGAAAAAAAAATAACGGCTGTAGTATATTATTATAATTATCAGTGATTTTGTGGAATTATCTTAAGGAAAAAATAGTAGAAATTGTCATTACTGATCATTACAAAACGTATCACATGACAAATGTAATGCTCACTGCGTGTATATGATCATTTCTTCGGTTATATTTAATATTTAATTGCAATACCTTTCGTGGAGCTCTCATAGCATCGTAATGCTTGTTTACTTTGCACGATAGGTAGCCGGTTTGACAGTTCAATAGGTAGACTTGGCTTCACTCTTGGCGTGACTCATTATACACCGACTCTAGTTTCATCCATTGCGGGGCCTTAAGTAAATCCGCAACAGACTTCGACATAAACAAGAAAAAAAAATATGCGTTAAGAAAACAAAAAAATAAAAAATAAAATAATAATAATTAACAAAAAAGAAAAAAAAAGTTTGCGAAAAAAAACTTATCCAGAAAATATAACTGTAAAAATAATACTTAATCCAACAAAGCAAAAAAAATGTGCCAGGAAAGTTAATCAACACTATAGGAAGATTAATCAGACAGCAAAAAAAAAACAGTAAGTGAAAAAAAAAGAAAAAAAAATGAAAACTTTTTCAGGAAAAAACAAAAAGGTGTCAGAAAAGTTAATCAACACTATAAGGAGATTAATCAGATTGCAAAAAAAAAAATCGCAAGGGAAAAAGAAAAAGAAAAAAATGAAAACTTTTTCAGGAAAAAAAAAACAAAAAGGTGTCAGCAAAGTTAATCAACGCTGTATGGAGATTAATCAGGTTGCGGAGAACGGAAGATAACCGTTTGTTAAGGCCGGCGCACAATAGATACGTTTTCAGGTTTTTTGACAGTTAGCCCATCTGTCAAAAAACCCGAAAACGTATCTATTGCGCGCCGGCCTTTACTTAGCTCTCCACACAAGCGCACGGAGTGTGGCTGATGACGATGATCTACTGATGTGAGGATGATGGTGATGATCGTTCTATTGTTGCCCTCGAGTGTTTGCAACAAAGCACCGGCTGGCTCGCCGGCTGGTGAACTCGATGACCTTGATGTTGCAGTTGCGTGGTGTGATGAAATTTGTTGGCTAAAGCTCATCTGCCGGTCTCGGCCGGAAATGACTGCTTCCTTTCTCGAACGGTTGTGCGGCAAATGCAATTCCGCGATGCTCACTACACTTTTGTATACTACAACCACAAACGAAGTGACAGACGACTAACTGGTGAAGAAATCCATTTAAATAATGTGGTTCACTGTAATAGAATTTTCTTGGAAGCTTATGCCATCATCCACCAGATGGGTTAGTTTTTTTGTTTTGATTTGAACAAAGTTGATTTTGTGTACAATGATTCTTTGACAGTGTGCAAAGAGTGCGTATCATTTTGTCATTTTTTTATGCATTTCAGTTTTGAGTAGAGTGAAAGAGATAGAACCAAAACATTCTAGTACATTTGGTGAAAATGCTAGTTCAATCTAGTAGTAGCAACAATCAATACGAAACTAACGATTTTAAATTGGCTCACCACTTTAGTAGCCTATTGGTCCCAAGCAAACGATTAACGTACCCTATTCTAGTTGAAATTCTATTACTACACTATGTTTGTTTTGATTCGCTATGAAAGTTTGACAGATAACATCAGGGGTGTGTGGATTCATGCAGAACATGCAGGGGTGAGTGAAATAGCTTGGGACTGCTTGGGACCGTTGTTCTGGTACTGAGTGAGCCAAAAATAATAATGATTTTCTTCGGGACCCAGTGGTCTTAGAGTTACCTCTATGGTAGTAGCACAAACGAAGTGACAGACGGAGCGGCTCCGAAACTTTGGTGACTAACCTGCTATTTCAATTTTTTAGTGTACCACATGGCAACACCACTACTACTGGATTGTACCACATGGCAACACTACTACTGGTTTGAACTAGCATTTTCACCAAATGTACTAGAATGTTTTGGTTCTATCTCTTTCACTCTACTCAAAACTGAAATGCATAAAAAAATGACAAAATGATACACTCTTTGCACACTGTCAAAGAATCATTGTACACAAAATCAACTTTGAGCTAAACCAAAACAAAAATACTATCCCATCTGGTGGATGATGGCACAAGCTTCTAAGAAAATTCTATTACAGTGAACCACATTATTTTAATTGATTTATTCACCAGTTAGTCGTCTGTCACTTCGTTTGTGGTCATACTGCGGTCGTGTCTAGGACACAACCCTTTAATTTTTTTTACGTTGAAAGCAAGCCGATACATTAAAACTATTTTAACAAATTTCCCGACTATTTCACAGAATCCAGGTTTCAATACCTACCCTGTGTTCTCCCTCGTCGCCAAGTAAGTTGTAGAGCTGAAAGGTTATTTCTTATTTCTCACTAAATACCACGTAATTGCTATTTCATTTACCGAGAAGCGTTTATTCGCGTCTATCGACCAATCTTTCCGTATCACATCTCCCTCTCCCCCTCATCCCGTTCCCCTTCCTCTTCTCGAACTCGCCCGTATGTCAAGTGTTGATAAATCCATCATTTCGTCTTGTCTCTGCAGTGCACCCAAACCCTACAACCGCAATGAACCAAATTAAATAAAACGTAAAAAATTGGGCCTTATTATGGGTGTCACTACACGGTGATAAGGAAGTGATACTCAGAATAAGAGACGTGATTGCCGTACAAATCAAATGGGAACCACTTCACCGTGATGACAAGTGACAAGTTTTCACCCTGAAGTGACATCCGTAATAAGCCCCATTACCTTTCGGATAATCCGAATCAACAGTACCTACTCAATAATGTATGCTTCTTCATCTATTATTATTTAGCTTTATTAAGGAGGCTTTCAGCCTTGGGCTGGTTCGCCTCCAAATGCTTCTTCATCTTTGAAAATGTACTACATTAAACAAATAGCTTTATTTTGGATTTTAGGAGAAAAAACCCCATACTAAGTTTTACTTCCCAAGGCGTGAGAAAATGCATGGCAACTTTAAAATCAAAATGCAAAAATATCAATATTCATTCCCTTTTCTTCAAGTAGTGCGTTTCCATTTGTGCAAAATTTCCGCGGCTTTCTGTAGATTTTCGTCTTTCTTGAAGAAACAGTAACGGACAAAGTCTTCGCCTAAATGCTTGTTTTGTTCGCTGTAGAAGGCCGATGGAGGAATTCCTTGCAATCCGATTGTCTTGGTCATCCACTTGGTAAAGCGATAGTCCTTTCGTGCATCCGTCTCCTGCGATAGGTCCACCTTGGAGGATAGCGACGACCAATCTGCCACCATGAAATAGCCACCCTGTGGTACAGTTGGGTTCATTCCAACTTCTGTCAAGAACTTGGCCATGTAGTCTCGCTTGGCCATCAGCTCGCCAGAAATACTATTGAAGTAACATTCTGGACTGTTAAGTCGTTTCAGTTCAATTTCGAATCCAACTGCTATCGCTTCCTGCACCGGTGTGGCACACGTGTAGACACAATTTTGATGCACCATTTGGAGGTTCTTAAGTAGCGACTCAGGTCCGTATGCCCATCCAATCTTCCAACCGGTTAGGGAAAACGTTTTACCTGCAAGGACAGGACAGTTCAGTTATTAAAATCAACAGAAGCTTTCTGCTTATGAATAATAATTTTGTATGGCATAAAAGAACATGATAGAGCGATTATTACGATTAATGTTTTTTTTTTCATAATAAAATTGGAACAGAAGTTATTTGATTTTTTTCAAATTACTCGGGTTTAGAACAGAAAACAAATTTGGTTAACTAGTTTTGTCAAATAAAAACCACTGTACCTACCTACCAAATATTGTTTTCGAACAAAGTTCTAATTTCATCAAAATCATCATTTTATGACTTATGAGCTAGGTCTGTTATTTTATTAAGTAAATAGATAAAGTAGGAGATATTGAAATCTTAGTGAAAAGTTAACCGTTATTTTTTTCGGAAATAACTTCATCAGTATGCGACAGTTTTTAGATAAAAACGCTATCTACTATCAATTGGCTTCTAAATGCTTTCAAATTATGTGATAAAACGACGGACTTTGATAATGAAACATTTGAAAACTACACCAAGTAAGTTTGTCCCATTAAGTAAAGTAATCGCATATCAGTCCCATCTTGAAATTCAATCGTGCAGAGGTCAAGTTGCAGTTCTGCTTTTTGAATCGCCATATTTTTCGCTGATATTGAAAGTTGCGGCTTACTTGCCAGCCTATAGCCACAAACGAAATGACAGACGACTAACTGGCGAATAAATCAATTAAAATAATGTGGTTCACTGAAATAAAATATTCTTAGAAGCTTGTGCCATCATCCACCAGATGGGATAGTATTTTTGTTTTGGTTTAGCTCAAAGTTGATTTTGTGTACAATGATTCTTTGACAGTGTGCAAAGAGTGTATCATTTTGTCATTTTTTTTATGCATTTCAGTTTTGAGTAGAGTGAAAGAGATAGAACCAAAACATTCTATGTAGTAGTGTTGCCATGTGGTACAATCCAGTAGTAGTGGTGTTGCCATGTGGTACACTAAAAAATTGAAATAGCAGGTTAGTCACCAAAGTTTTCGAGCCGCTCCGTCTGTCACTTCGTTTGTGCTACTAGTCTTAGTACTTCCTCCAAAGACGTTCGGATTTTGGGCGTTAACGATAAAAAAGAGAAAGAAATTTTGCAATTTAAGATTTCCCTTTTCTCCTCGTTGTCCTCGGTGTCACTCGGTGGGGCCCTTCGACGATAGCGGCGGCGGTTGCTGTTTGTTCACGTCGGCTCCAGACACGGTCTGTGTCGAGCGTTTTTTCCTTCACTTTTAGCTGTCTAGCAGCGGTCCTTGGCGTTTAGCGGGGGGATGAGCGAGGCTCCTTTATCGAAACCCCCCCGCCGACGATGGTGACGAATCACCGGACCAACTACTCGCCGTAGATGGTCCCGGTAGTCACCGCAGTGCACTACCCAGGCGAACGCTCCTTCGGTTCAGCCTGCTTCGTTCCTCCTTGGATTTTAACTGCGGTGGCGAGACTGGCTCTACTGGCTGAGCCACCGCAGTGAGGACGGTGGGTGTTCGGGATCCTTGGTGGTTAGCCGGGAAGCGAAAAAATCCTTTACGCTTAGCTTCCCTTGGCGGCGATCCGACACCCTTCACTAATGCAGCTCACGAACCACGGCACTTTTCGAGGAAACGACGTCACTTCCACGCGACGATGCTGGGAATTATCCCTCCAGCGGACACACGCCACGAAAACGGAACTCCAACTCTCGTTTTTACTTAAACGGACGGGGCCAAAAACGCGTCGATTTCCTACCGTGTCTCGTAACTTTCTCCTTTTTCCGTACTATATACTATATACAATAACCGCCATCGTTCTCCTGCAACCGCGCTCGAATGTTCTGCTGCTTATGTTTTTCGCCTTCTTTTGCAGCGGGAGGAGAAACGGGACCTAACTTTATTCTAGACGGGAGACAATTTAAAACGATAATTTTTACACTATATTCTAATCCTAAAAACATGCCTACACGAATAAAATCTACTATGAAAATAACAAATTAAAATATTTACAAATGAAGCAGTGGTGAGTATGTTGCCGAGCGTGCGACCAAAACAAAAACAATTCATAACAGACAAGGCACACGTTCGTGGCAAACACGTTAAAAGGGTGGGTTATTAATTGTCACCCTAGACGAGGGTTACAATATAAAAAATTATGCAAGCTTTCTTACCACTGATTTTAACTTGACAAAATTAACAATTAATTTACTATGATTGTTTTAATAGCGGATTTTTTTTTATAAATTACCGAACATGTTTGGGTCGAAGGGCCTTCGATTTCTATGAAACTTCGCCCATTGGTAGAGTTCATGGATATATTCACAAAACTAAATTTCAAAAAAATTAGGGTTGCCAATTTTTTCGAAAAACCTTAGTTAAAGTTTTCCGATTTTCTCGGACACCACCAGCTTCAAAAAATCATAACTTTTGAACCAAGCATCGCATAGTCAAAGTCAATTAACAAAAATTACTTGTAATCTTGTTAACTATTCATAAAGAAAAACAATTGAAAACATAATTCGTACAATGAGGTTTTCACCATTAGTGAAAAACAAAAAGATAAGCTGTGGAAATTATCGCCTGTATCATGGATTTTAATCAAACACATGTGTTCATGTTTGGAAATGTTAAACTTTTTTTCGGAGGACATTTCAACATTTCAAGATGGTATCTTATACCGTTTTTGAGATATGCCCGAAAAACTGATGACCGGTCTAGCGCTCTACTTTTAAAAAATCAAATTGTTCTTTCTCCTCGCACACCTTCTATACGCGTAGCAGCATAAATACCTACCTACCCATCTATATTATAATAAAATCAAATTAAATTATATTAAAATCAAGGGGTCGACATTATGAAACAGATCGTTCGGGTGATCGTTGCCACGATTCTATAAAATTCCCAAGAAAACCATTCCCCAGCAAACCATTCCCCAGAATGCACCATTCCCTAGAAAAGCATTCCCCAGAATGTACCATACCCCAGAAAGACAGACAGACTAAAGTGGTAATTTTTATACGACAGATGAGGAGATTCTCGATAAATTGTACACATTTGATTTAATATATTTTTCATGATAAAACTCTCTGATTAGTTTCACTTTACTATTGATGATACACTACGTTTACTTTATGGAACTGTGTATTTATCAATTCCAAACCATTTTATAGCTCTTTAGAAAATGACAACCTTCAAGTTTTCGAGCACTTCGTTCATCATTTAAAAAGTCAAAGGGTCTATTATGCAATCCAATTCAACCAGTCGGAAACTTTTAAACCTAATCGAAGAATTGTTCGAAGTTGAAGAATTTCTCGTGATGGATTAAAAAATCGGTGCATGGAACGTTGAACTACCGATTACAAATTTATAACATTGTTCCACACGTTATTATCCCGAATGGGCATTACCCCCAATCCCTCGAAAAGCTATTGATTATATATTTTCCTTATATATGAAAAGAAGGGAATATTCCCTTATTTATAATACATCCAAAGAATTAATTATTTCCTCTTTTATATATTCAAAGAAGGGAATATTCCCTTCTTTATCGTTTATCCAAAGAATAAATTATTTCCTTTTCTGATATTTTCAAAGAAGGGAAAACCCATTGATCCATTAACACTCCGAATACGATGCCTCCGAAAAACGTGTAACGGTAAGTTTGCAATGGCACAACTTAGCCATTTCTTAATGAATTTCAAAAATTGTGGTACCTTTAGAATTCCTAGGGTTTCTAAATGATTTTGATCGCAAAAAACTTAATAATAGAGTCGTCTACTTTTTTAAAAAGCGAAAAGAGTTGTTACACGTTTTTTTGAAAAGTGTGTTTGTAGGGTTTTGCAAGTGGTGCAAGATCTGTAATTTAGATTAATGGGCACAAATGTTCACAATTAGCCAGAATACAGTCATGGTTCCTATATATGGATCCTGGACACAACGGAACGGTCCTGGAAAAATCCGGAACATCCGTAAAAATGGTGATCCTGATCCTAGAGCTCTGCGGTTTTTTTTGAAAACATTAGGAACTGTGATATAATCAAATATTTGGGGTCGTGACATAAAATGTACCTGGATGGCCATGGGACCGTCCTCCGGAAGATCCGGAACATTCGTAAAAGTGGACAATCCATGAAACTGATCCTAGAGCTCCGTGTTGTTTTTTAAATTAGGATCTGTGATATAAGAATGAATTTGGGTCATGGACCAAGATGGCCATATTAGCTAAGCCCAGCGGAAGATCCGGAACATCCGTGAAAGTGTTAGATCCACGATCCTGATCCTAGAGCTCCGCGTTTTTTTTATAAACATTAGGAACTGTGATGATAGAAAGAATTTGAGCTTGTGACATAAACATGATCCTGGATGTCCATAGGACCGTCCTCCGGAAGATCCGGAACATCCGTAAAAGTGGTAAATCCACGATCTTGATCCTAGAGCTCCGTGGTTTTCTTGAAAACATTAAGAACTGTGATGTTAGAAAGAATTTAGGCTTGTGACATAAACATGAACCTGGATGTCCATGGGACCGTCCTCCGAAAGATCCGGAACATTCGTGAAAGTGGAAAATTCACGAAACTGATCCTAGAGCTCCGTGGTTTTCTTGAAAACGTTAGGAACTGTGATATTAGAATGATTTTGGGATCGTGACATAAACATGGACCCAGATGGCCATCGGAACGTCCTCCGGAAGATCCGAAAAATTCCACAGTTTTTGAAAAAAAACACTAAGAACTGAGATGATAGAATGAATTTGGGGTCGTGACCTAAACATGGACCTTGATGGCCATGAGACCGTCCTCTGGAAGATCCGGAACATCCGTGAAAGTGGAAAATTCTCGAAACTGATCCGAGAGCTCCGTGGTTTTCTCGAAAACGTTAGGAACTGTGATATTAGAATGATTTTGGGATCGTGACATAAACATGGACCCAGATGGCCATCGGAACGTCCTCCGGAAGATCAGAAAAATCCGTAAAAGTGGTCAATGTATGGAACTGATCCTAGAGCTCCACGGTTTTTTTTCGAA